CTTAAAGTTAATCTATATTGGTAGAAATATTATTTAATCTGACAGTTTCAGGAAAAAAATTAAATCAGATGCATTTAGAATATATTGAATTTAACACATTATGATCAAACGGCTAATACCAATTTTTTACCAATGTAGATTAACTTTAATCTTAGTTTATTTATCCTTTTCTAAGAATTCAAACGCGATGGCGCCGATTCGTCATTATACATATATGCGTATCAACCGATTCACTATTCGTGATCCATTGAAACGATATTGCGATGCAATCGAAAAAGAGTCAAAAATTAATCGTAATATAAATTGTACATACATATCTGATGATGATGTCGACTCCGTTGTTCTCCATCGAAGATGATTCCATCGAATCTAATCACACACGGAATTCCAATTAATATAAGTAATGTCGATCGGTCAGCGGGAGGGAAAGGATGATCACAGGTCTGATCTTTTTAAAGTTGAAGTTCTTATATGATTCACCTTTTCTCTTTTTCTCTCTAACGTGGAGAAATAAGGAAGGAAAATGAAGTACAAGAAATTCAGCTAAAAAGAACAGGCCTCGTCTCTCAAGATCTTCCACCGACGATGACGTCACACGATATTATACGATTGTACATGACGTATTATGACAAATATTCTACGTTCCGCGCGATATTTGTTCTCAGGTGATCACGATCGCGAAAATAAAATACGTTTTCTGAGAAATACACTCGCGTGATCCGAGACGACACGATCTGTGAGACTGCAACCAATGGCGCCAATTCGAACGGAAGCGCGACTATCGAGATCTCGAAGGCGCGACGCGCAGCCAATTAGCCGCCGATTTTTCGCAATCGCAAGAGGTCGTTCCAGTCGTTCGATTACTACATGAGTCAATAATCTATAGCCAAACGTTTCGTCGCAGTCATCGCGAGAATCGTAGACGCTGTTGAACCGCTGGCACGCCGAGAGTAAAGCGTGAATTTAAATACGACAGACGGACGTGATTCGCGCGATTATTCCGCGGTAGAAGCGACTACTATTCGCGCGCGACTTTTCCCCGGACGTCAGATTGCTTCTTGACTTGTGCATTACGAGAAGCCATCTTTTCTCGGTGGCCGCCTCTTCTATCCGGTACACGCGGTCGAGTAATACGTTGGATACGCGTAATCGCGTGCAAACGGAATTTCGGGACGTCTTCACGACGTCGCGGAGATCTCGCCGGTGTTTATGGTGTTGCTGTAACCGCAGTCGCCAGAAGGAAACATGGCGCGTTACGGGCAGAGGCCCGAGAACGCCCTGAAACGGGCGAACGGTAAGTCGTGGGGTTCCGCCTGACGTCCTACACGAGTGACATGGCCGATGGCATCAAGCTCCATTAGCTCGCGTGGAAAGAAAGAAAGCTCGTACCCTCTCGAGGCATTTGTGCGGAAAATACGAGGTTGCGTCCTCCGTGGTCCTTCGTTGCTCCCGCTCGAAAAGATGATCTTTTCGTAGCTCTTTGATCGACCCTACCGCGTCGCACAGTGTCTTGGAAAATCGGCGTGCCTTCAAGGCTGCCTGTCTCCCGGTGGAGCTCTCTGATTTCTCTCTCTCTCACAACCATATGCGTTCGCATCGGACGGATCTCGTAATCATCGGGATTGCGAAATGTCACGATTATGCTATTTATTCCAAAACGCATGCGATAAGAGTATCACCTCTTCCGATTACGTAGAATAATTTTTGCGTTTATTTAACACATGGGATGCGTGTAAAAATTCTGACGTCTGGAAAAAGATCTGGCCGAGCTTACTATTGTATTTTATGTTGTAACTTTTATACTTTTTAGTATTACATATGTATGTGGTGCGGATTAGTTTTTGTTTTCTGTAGAAATAGGTCTGTTTTCTAATTTAGAAAGTAAATTAAAAAATTAATTTAGTTTCTATAAATCAGTTTCTGAACCGATATAAACTTTCTGAATTTAAAATGAAATAATTGTATGTTTCGATATTTGACAAAAGCAAGAAAGAAAGTGCAGAGTCTAGTTGAGAAATAAAAAATAGGCCTAAGTTTTGTTCGTGTGAGATGCTTCAACATGCTCCTATCATAGTTTCTATTCACTCCAATGAGTGTGTAGGAGTGAATAAGAACTATGTTACAAGTATGGTGGAGCATATCATGCGGACAAACTTCCAATGTCTCGTATCTTCTCCTGTCATTGAACCTTGTTTGTTACATAATATAAGCAGAGCAAACACTCAGTTGTTATAAATTATTTTTTTATATTTTTTCTCTGTATCTTTTTTTATATTTTTTTTGCAATAGCTGGCATTTTTATATATTTCACTTTGAGTTCAGGATATGTAACACAATATGGTTAAACAGTTTTGATAGATTAAAATTAATTTTAAGCTGATATTACTCTTTAAAACATTTAAAGTGAGAATAAAATCTCATTCTGAAGACTGAAATCTTACTTTTACAGATGGAAAATTATACCATTTTTTCAAGATTGACTCAATTTTTATTCCTTAGAGTGAGATTCTACTCAAAAGAATTTAGAAAGTACTTTTCGTATAACAAATTTTTCAAGTGCGTTAATAGGCTTCAGGACAAAGAGATTCTCGATTCTGCCTTGATTCTCAATTACAATAAAATATTTTTATATTTGATTAGTCAATTCTTATAACTGCGCTTACGCAATTGTAGAATGAGCTTAGTCCCTATTCAGAATTCTTAATAGTTTTGGTATCGTCGTTACTTAGATTTTTTTTCATATATAAAAGCTGTGCAATTACCAGCACTAACTCTCGTTAAGAATTACTAAGTAGGAGCTTTGATTGTCAACATTCTATATCTTTCAGCATACATTTAATAATTTTTATAATTATATAAAAATTTATATATTTAAAAAATTGATTTAGTTTCTAAATTAATTTTTGAATAGTTTTCTGATAGTTCTCTTCTTTTTTTTTTAAACAGAGTTCATAGAAGTGGGTAAACCAGCTCGAGCATTAGATACATTACAAGAAGTCTTCCGTAATAAAAAATGGACGTACAACTGGTCAGAGTCCGTCTTGGAACCTATAATGTTCAAGTATCTGGATCTTTGTGTGGAACTAAAGAAGTCACACATAGCGAAAGAGGGCTTGTTTCAATACAGAAATATGTTTCAATCCGTCAATGTTGGGAGTTTGGAGAATGTTATACGTGGTTATTTGAAAATGGCTGAAGAGAAGACTAATGCAGCACGCAAACAGAGTCAACAAGCAGTAATTGACATTGACGATCTTGATAATCTTGCCACACCTGAGAGCATCTTACTGTCAGCCGTAAGCGGTGAAGACGCGCAAGACAGGAGTGATCGTACTATTTTAACACCCTGGGTGAAATTCTTGTGGGAATCGTACTGCCAATGCTTGGAGTTGCTCAGAACTAATGCGCATGTAGAAACTCTTTACCATGATATCGCACGTATGGCCTTCCAGTTTTGCCTCGAGTATAATCGTAAGACTGAATTTCGTAAGTTATGCGAGAAATTGCGGAAGCATCTTGAAGAGATATGTAAACTGCCTCCGCTCGTATCGAATGTTTCTATGAATAAGGCGGAAACGCAACAGTTAAATCTAGAAACTAGATTAAATCAATTAGATTCTGCGATACAAATGGAATTGTGGCAGGAAGCCTTTAAATCTTCGGAGGACGTTCACGGTATGATGAATTTGTCGAAGAAGCTCCCTGTACCAAAAACAATGGCCAATTATTATCAGAAATTGGCTATGGTTTTCTGGAAGGCTGGCAATTATCTATTTCACGCAGCTGCACTGTTCAAACTTTTACAGCTCTCTCGGGAAATGAAAAAGAATATGTCCTCGGAGGAACAGCAGCGAATGGCCAATCGAGTATTATTGGCAACGTTGTCGATACCGTTGCCATCCGCGCATCCTGAATTTGATCGTTTTATAGAGACTGACAAGAGCCCGCTAGAAAAAGCTCAAAAGCTCGCGACACTTTTAGGTCTCTCGCAACCACCAACACGCGTCTCTCTGTTGAAGGACATTGTTCGTTTGAATGTTGTCATTCTCGCATCACCACAGTTGCAAGAATTATATTCATGGTTAGAAGTGGAATTTCATCCATTAGAACTCTGTAGCAGAGTCGATTCCGTCATTCAAACATTACAGGCAGACGAAAACAGTCCGTTAATCCAATACATCCCAGCCTTGCAGGATGTTACACTTGTGCGTCTTGTTCATCAGATTTCTCAAGTTTATCAAACTATACAATTTTCTAGACTCCTGGAACTTGCCAAATTTACTATCGATTTTCATCTTGAACGTCTTTTGGTAGACTGCGTGCGCTATAATGACATGCAGATCAGAATAGATCACGGCAAGTCATGTGTTCACTTCGGAGTGGATCTCTCGGAGGCGCAACGAGAAGATCATCCGGACGGTCCGGTATTGCAAGCGATGCCCTCCGAACAAATACGCTGCCAACTGGTAAATATGGCGACCGTGTTGCACCGTGCC